TCACCACCATTATTCTTTCATTCACATATGTATAATTCTCTATTCTAGATTTCAGACTTTTGTGAATCAATATGGCAACCCCAGCTTTTGCTCTTACACTGACACACCACTATGTCATTACATAGTTATCTAATTCTTTTGTTCCTTTCAGTTTCTTAGTCTCAGTTATTACACCTATTAGTATTTTCTGTTTGTTTGGAAACTTATCTAGTTCCACATCTATCATTCCCAGACCTCTCATGTTCCATGTGGTTACATTTATTTATTCTGTAATTCCTTTTCTCTTTTCCTTGGCATGCATTGATTGTCATATGTAACTATCCCACTTACAGAGGAGATAGTGAGTATGTCCCTAAGTGTGAGTTACTAACAGCTAAGTAGACAAGATGTCGGGGCTGCTGACTTGAAGTTTTCTGCCCTGCTTTTCTTTCTGTTGGGGGCTCCATCTACCCCTCAATGTGCCTTATGCCATCTTTCCTAATTATCTTGTTTGTCAACGATATCTTGGGGTCCTCTTCTGATGTTGACTTCTTCTAGCATTAAGATCTTCTGGAGTACTTCTTCATCTGATCCATTCCCTTCCCTACCTGGCAAGGGAAGCCCTACTAGTAGCTACACTATCATCAGCATAGCTCTTAGTTTCAGGTGGGGACATAAGCTCCACCACTGATGTCAAGAACTCCCTAGGTGGAGAGAACCTTTGTCAGAATAAAATTACTATTTTAAAAAAGTTTCAAGGATCTTTCACAATTGAACTATTTTACTCAATTTTATTAAAACTATTTTACTTACATTTTGATTTGTGGATTTAACAGTCTATGTTTTTTGCCTTCTCATTTAATATGTCCTACAAAACCATTTAAACTTTAACATTCAGAATAAACTGTAATTTTTATTTTAAGTAGTTTATTAGTTTATTTATTGCAGTTATTTGTTTTTTTATTGTCAGAATTTCTGACAATCTAGTTATATTTTAAACAGAACAGAGGATAGGTTAATTTTATTAATATCCCCATTTATAAAAATGTTCAATAGCCAGGAATTAACACTCATGGTTGGCAAACATCAAACAAATCAAATTGTAATGTGTGTACTATACGAATAGATTTTACAGAATCTTTTATTCCTCGATTCAAATGAGGGAATTCATGGATGAAATTTTTCAATCAATTTCTCTTTTAATTCTTAAATTCTTTGTTAATGAACATAAAATATTCATATCTTTCATAAACCTATTTAGAACAATATTAACTATGCACAAAACGATGTGTTGAGATATTGTTTTGTTTATTGTCAATTTCTCGTTACCCTTAGGACGAGATTGCAAGATATATGTATTTCGACTCTCTGATTTTGATGGAGAAGTAAGCACTGATAATAGTGCAAGGGGCCGTCAGGATATCAAAGACAACAGATTAGAAAAAACAAAAGGTTGTCATACGTTTTCCATTAGTAGACCTGGAGGCTCACATTTGAGAATGGTGAGTTATCAAATTCTTGTTTCAAATTTCTTTTAGTGGTTTTACTACCCAAGGTAAGAATAACTTTCATTTATTCCATTTGTCTATTTCTTTTTTTTTGTAACAAATTATTTTCTCATGACACATTCAGGTTACAGTGAAACCAGGCTTGGTATTTTTTTTTTTTTATTTTACATTTTATTTGTACAGTGTCTTGTAAAACTTAGAATTGTAATTCTTAAGGTGATGTCTATGGTAAGAAGACAAATAGTCAAATGTCCATAAAAAGCACAAAAAAATTGAGAATTTATCAAAAACCAAATTTCAATTTAAAAGTTGCAGTTGATTGTTCATCATATTTTTTATGAAATGTCTACTCAGTTTTATGAAACATTGTGCTAATCAAATATAACATCAAAAAATCTCTTTCTCATGAAATATATATTAATGGACAATTTCTGTTGTTTAGTTCTGGATAGACAATATGTGATTAAATCATTCTATTAATTTTTATTTTATGTATTCAAAATTAATATTCAGCTTGAGTTGACCGAATCAAGAAGCAAATTTTTCAAGAAAGTGGATTAATTTGCTTGAAAACTAAAGATGACAAATTATTGTAATATTTTTCTTAACAGGTTGTAGCAATAGGAAAAAAACTGCTTCTGATGCAGTGGCGTCATTCTGCAGCTTGGACAGCCTGGTGTCCAGCAAGTGACACAGATACTGTGGAAGGGTTTCAGTATATTAGGGTAAGTAATGTGAAAATTTTGCAAATCAGAAATGTGCTTGATTATTTTATTTTAAATTCAAAAATACAACAACCAACAGTTCCATAAGCAGTAGCTTCTAGGCTTGTAGAATAGAAGGGTGTAAAAACATTTGCAAAATAATCAAATAAGAGATTTAATTTGGGGGGGAAAATACAATTAAAGCCACTCAATGAACTCCAATTTCTGATCAAGGTAATGTGTTTATGTTTTTTGCAGGAACTACAAGTGACTGAAACTCCTCTTTTGTTAACTCTTGTTGATTCATCTCTTGTAAAGTCTGGTGGAGGGACAAGTGATAATCATATATGTGTTGCCTATCGTCATCAGTTTGATTTGGTTAATGAGCGCACTGGTGAGATAACACATTTGCACACAGTTGAAGGAAGCAGAGTTCATCTTGTTGCAGCTATTGATTTGTATGAAGATCAGGAACCAGAACTTTTATTGTGTTTTAATCGTGAGTTCATTTATAAATATTTTCATAGTTACATTGAAGTATATTCTACATAACAACTAATTATATTTCTTTTTATGGGTTCAACAATATCAGAAGCATTTCTAATACTGGAAAAAGCTATGATAAGTTACTTTCACCGATTCAACACTTTGGGGAAAGAAAAGAAATCTTAAATTGGCAAATTTTAAAATTATTATTATTACATTTGGAAGCTTGAATTAAAAGAATTGATATGATTTATAAAATTATATAATAAAATTTCATATTACAATTTGCATTAGTTATGTACCCTGTTTCAGCCTCATTTTATGGTCTTGTAATATTTCTTTCTTCGTGATTCATAATTCACAAAACAAGAATTCGAGGCAAGAAGTTGACTGTCCCATTTTGAAGGCAATGGGAACATGTGGGTCAATAAATTTTTTCTTTCGGTTTTCTTTCTGCAAGTTCTATTTATGCTTTCATGCAGGTCAGAATATAATTTATTTCCAGGATTTTTTTGAGAGGCTCAAATTTTGCTAGGCAAGGAGAAGGCAAGCTCTGCAAGATTTTTTTGTACAATTATGATTTTCATATTTGTCTTACAATCTCAAAACCATAGTGACCTTTATGAACACATTGTAATCAGAGTTTATAACCAAACAGAAATCACTATAATGTGTTATAAACCTAAAAAAATCACAATGAAATCCATGTTGTTGACTGTGTCAAAAGAAGCATCAAATAGAGTAGCAGAACTTGTCCAAATATATGAACAAAATTTAAGAGAAATTTAGATTACTCAGGGAAAACTATTATATTTATTCAATGAAATTTGCAGAACAGAGAGAATTTTTAAAAGAATTCTTTGAATCATGTCATTGCCTCGTCACTTTGTCAAGATAAATTTCCAGTTACATTCTGATCATTCTTTCGTATTTCTATTTTTCTTTCACAATGATAATCCATCTTCTGAAAATGCAAACACACAATTTCAATTACTCACAAAATTTTTGTGGAGATGAGTTTACACAGGTTACAATGAACTGAGAAACACTCTGTGAGGAAGCATGGCTCAGCTCAAAAGCTTGTGATAAGAGTTATGCATTGCACTTACATCCATCCACATAGACATCCTGATTTTCAAGAACAGAATTGCTAGTATTTCCTCATCACCTGCACCAATATTAATCAGACAATTCAGCAAGGGGCAAGCCAAATTGTTTAAATATGTTCCATGAAGTTATGAGCTTGAAGCAATTCGAGACATCATAGGTTCCTGGATGGATGCCTTTCTGGGAACCACAGGTATCTAACAATGCCGAGTTACTGGTCGAAGTGATAAAAGACAAAGACTGAATATGACTGATGTTGACTAGATTAAAGGAGTATTACTCTACTTCATGTCAGTATGTGCTAGTATAGAACGTTGTATCAGAATTTGGAAAAAAACTACCTTTGAAACCGCACAAGACTTAATCTTACTGTTACAGTTCAAAATAACCCTAAATATTGATTTTTCAGCTGAAAATTCGAGTTAGTGTTGTTGAGATATGGTTAAGAAACTGTATGTTTGTGGAATCTCTAACAATAAATTTCTTCTCTACCTCAATGATGCAGCAGGACTGACTCTTCTGTCTCAACTGCAATGATCTTCAAATTCCTCTGTCAAATTTTTCTGTATCATGTTTTGGTGGGATGAGTATTTTCCATTTCATCATCTCAGAGATGTCATTTCCAGTTGTGTCCTCTCCTTTAACTTTGCCCATCATTGTGCATGACTTCCATGCCTCCCCCTCTCATATGGGATCCATCAATGGTGAGTTATTATTAAAAGGAAATGATTGCTGCTTGGAAAAGGTCACACATGCCATTGCTATTCATTAATATGTAGTTGGTCACTGAGAAGCTCTCAATTCCATGCCATTATATTCATAACTTGTTCTCCATAGAGTGTCAATGTAGATTTTTTAGAATAGGCACATTTTACCCTCTTGCATTTAATTCCAGCATATAAATCAGAATTAATTCAGATTGCATTTTTCACCTTTATATGGAGGCTTTGTCAATGAAAATTTGTATGCTTCCTTCTTCTTTTTTAACTTTGATGAAGTAATAACTCTATTTGTAAGATTGACTAAAAATCATTTTAAAATGTTCTTTTAATGTTCTTTTTAACAGTGTAAATATTACTAGTAATTTGTTTCTTCCATTTCTTATTTAAATACATAATTCTTCCATATTTTGCTTTTTCTTTCTGTTTCACTCTACCATAAATATTTACCCACCTACTATTTGATTCTGTAATGCTGAAGAGGGGAGAAGGGGTTTGAGGTAGTGTTACGTTTTAAAACCATTCAAATTTGCTGAAATAATTCCTTTTATTCAGTCTTATACTAAAACATTACCATATTAACAAATTAAATTTAAAACATAATAAATTAAAGAAGTTATATTTTGTAAATTGTTACAATAAAATAAAATATTTTTCATCTAGGATATATTAATTGAATCTTTTAGATTACCAAGAAAATATTCAAATCTGATCTACAATTCAATTAATCCATTCTAGAATCCAATTAGTTGGTGCAGTTGACTCAGAGCCTATGCATAATCCACAACGACATGTGCACGGTTCATCAGAAATGTTCACGCACTCTCTTTCAGTAAAAAATTGTCCCCTAACTTATTGTTATGTCCATTCTGCACTACCAATTCTTCTGTTAATTGTAATAAATAATAATGTATAACACACGTAAAATTAATGCAACTCATTTCTCCTTTATAATTAAGTTTTACTTATTGTAATTGGGGGAACTTGTTGCAAGCATTATGTAATTATGAGAGGGGGTACAAGCGTGTGTTACTGGTGCATTACAGGGGGAAGACAGGGTATTCAAAATACTCCAAATTTTTTTATGTAATTTATGGACAACCCCTTTTCCTTGGTGCCCTTTAATTTATATTTTTTTTTTGGTCTGAAATGACATCAATATTTTTTTTCTATCTTCTATGATTCTTGTTTATATACAAACAAACAAGCAAGAGCAAACAACACTTGTTTTTAGTCTTGAATATTGACAACATTCCAAATTACAATGATTAGTGAGATATTTCACTATAGGTAACGTAAACTGAACATTCAGAAAGGTGACATCAACAGTCAGCTGTTCCAATAAGTTGCCACTTGTAAAAATAAATGATTTTGGAAGGATACAAGGACTCTAAGGGAAAAAGAGAGTAGGGGAAATATTACAAGGACTCTCAATCTGTCTCAGTCACCAACTGGCTTCAGGGGTTAGAGAATGAATGCATGAAAAATAAGAATGTGTCGAGTGTTAAAAGATCTCTCAAACAACGTTCACATGTTTCGATATGTTTTGCTTCTGTATTTGATGCTTCCTTTGACAATTCAATAACGTGGATTAAATTGTTGAATTTTTTGGTTTACAACACACATTCTAATGATTTCTTTTTGTCTTGAACTCTCATTATAATATGTTTATGAGGGTCATTATGGTTTTGAGATAAGACAAATATGCAGATCTTAATTGTACAAAATTTTGCTTTCCCTTGCCTTGGGAAAATTTGAGCCTCTCAATCAAAAGAGCTACAACAACATCAACAATATTAACAAAATCCTGAAAATAAATGATATTCAGATCTGCATGGAACTGTAAATAGAACTTCCAAAAAGAAAACCTAAAGAAGTGAACTGTTTTTGTCTTCTGTAAGGTCGTGTAGCTCTATGGAGACACTTTTACATCCCCATGCCAATTATTTTCAAGTAACTTGTTGATAAGTAAAAAATGAAATCACCAAGTCCTAGTTTCTGTGAAAAAAAGTCATAGTATTCCAGTGAAAACAATTTCAAGCAACCCTGGAGTAGTAAGAGCATAGGTGATCATTCAAATTGTGGAAGATACTCTTTCATTGCATGTTCTCTTCCTCTTTCATTAACTTAATCCAATAATCTGATTTTTTCAGAATCCTTTCCAAAACTATTTTTGCAAACCCCAACTAAATGAGCTTACCAAGTTTAAACATTAAAAATGAATAGGTGAAATTGGCTCACTAGGATGTCTCCAGTGCAATACATACTTTGAAACAAGATTTGAGACTATGTTTATCTCAATACTCTCTCTTATGCTTGTTTTTATTCAGTCATTTTTTACTGCTCAACAATGGAAATTATGTTTTTATAAATAATAATATTATTGAAAATAATGTTTTGTAAAATGTCCTTAGATACTTGCCATTTCCAAAAACTTAATGTGGAGAATACCAGCACAGAATTTGATTTCCATTGGAATTCTGTACCTAATTCAATTGGTAAGTATACAAAAATGAATTTTAAAGACATATATTTATAAAATTGTTTGTTCTAATCCACTTCTCATTTCTATAGTCTGTGCCTTCCCATATATTTTTGCATTCACCCCTGATTCAATGGAGATTCGGCTGATAATAAATGGAAATTTGGTGCAAACCATGGTAATGCCTAAATTAAATTTAATATGTTCGAAGGTGAGTGAATGATTTTTTATTTATTGTTTTTCTTAGGTCATGAATCTCTCAATATCAAAAACTTTATAATAAAAGAAAGCACAGAATTTTGTGTCCCTTTTTTACGAGTTGGTACATTTAAACTTGGTATATTTTCCCGCCTTGAGTGGATAACTGCTGTCCTATTGAAATATATTACAAATGAATTTGAGATATTGTAATATACTTTTAAATCAATTTAGTGTATATAGAAAATATGGGTAACTTTTTTCTTTAGAAGTTTACCATTTTTTTAGTAGTAATTGTATTTTATTCATTATATAAATATATTTGGGTGAAATTGATGACAATGAGAATTGAAAAAAATATCTTTTGAGACTAAAAAATATGAATACCAGTTTCTAAATTGAATTTTTAATGGTGTACTTTTAATGGAATATATATTGCATTAACAATAACATTTTAAATAAAGTGACGTCTTAAAATATAAAAAAATTTGATTATATTTTTTTCTTCTAGAATGACATCTTCTTTGCCACCACAGCTCCAGAATTCTTTTCCAGTAAATCTGAGAGATTACAATTAGACAAACAGGAACGAGATCTTAGTACTTCTCCCCCATCTTCTCCTCATTGTAAGTGCATTTTGTCTCTAAATAATTCTTGACTTACAAATTTAAGATGAAGTAATTGAAATTATAAAAGTTTTACTAATGTCTGATAAATTGTGTTCGGTTCAAAACTGTTGGGATTGTGAGATGTGTACACACATCTAAAGTAACTTACACACCCTATGATTACAGCTGTGGTATGTCCCACAATGTACAAAACACTAGAAGCACACTAGGTCACATGTGTCCACAGCAATGCTTACACACACAGCAAGTGCTTGCCAAGAGAGGATAGAGAAACAGCAGTTGAATGCTCAGAATATCAATTGATGGTTATCAAATGGTATTGTACCTCCCTATAACTCCAACAAAAACATATTAGCAAACTCTCAACCTGAGTAATTCCAAATTGTATTATCACACACACACTTGAAAGCAATATGAATACAACCATCATCATTTCGTGTGGCTAATCTTCACGTCTTCCACCACCCCAGACATAATTTTCTATCATTTTGGTGATGTATAATTATTGTTTCAATACGTCTCTATATTAGTTAGAAAATTTTAAAATGTTAACTTTAAAATGTACACTATAAATGTTACATTAAAGGTCCCAAGATAAGTAAATCACAAGTTTTTATAGTAAATTATGATTATTTCGTAATTACTGCCTTAAAAGCAGTAATTTTTTTTTTTTCTTTTCTTTTTTCTTTCTGAAAAAAATTATTTAAGATACAAAACACAAAATACTTCATCGAAAGTATTGTAGATGCTGCTACTTAATACAAAATTCTTTCTTAAAAGCATTTTAGATACAAAAGACAAAGTAGTATTTTAAAATAATTTCAGAAATAGGAAATGCAAACAATTGTGATCCAGTTTCTCAATTTATTTCTCAATACTTGGTTGTGGTTTTCAATTGTATGCAATTAAACACATTTCCCTTCAACACTACTAGTTTTTCAAACGTTGTATCACTAATGTTTCATCTTGTAATTGAAGTCGATAGGGGTTTCATTCCATTAACTCTAATTATGTAACAAGATCATCATATTTTGTTTGATTGTGTCCTTTTCTCTGCGTTTTCAAGAAACCATTTTTTAAGCTTGTTTGTTTTAAGTTCTTGGCATTAGAATCACTATCCTCAGGACTGTTCATTTTCCTCCTATGTGAATTTGAGCTTCTAGACCATTCATTTTTATAGATCTCAAATTTACTCATCACACTAAGAAGAATTCTCTAAAATGTGTTGAAAAATTATCAGTTTCCTAGTAAACTAGTACCAGTAATCAGTAAAATTCATTCTATTGTTCACTGTTGGGTACGTTTTAAAATTTATAATATCACTTATTTTTAGCTTTAAGTGTGTCTTAAAATTTGTGGGCACATTGTAGGAACCACTTATTATTGTCTGTTTGGCAGACAGCAATTACAAATTTAAATAGTTGAGCAGTATCAACAATCCCTGAATTAAAAATTCATATTTTTGATATTATTGTAATTTGTATTTTGTATCAAATGTGATGTGTATCATCTATCTGATGATATTGTGTATTTGAAAATACAAAAATACTTTTAATTGATCGCCATTAAAAATTTGAATTTAAATATACAAACATGGAAAACACTAACATCAATAAAAAAAACCTTTTCATATTTTGAAGCAATTTTTTCATTCCCTGCAGCATAATTTAAAAGAACGTGTTTGATAACTCAAAATTTGGGGTAATTGAAGAAAATGTATTTTCGAAGACACTTCGAAATAGCAATGAAAGGATTTTGGGGACCACTTTACGGACATAATATTATATTGTCACATGCATCACCACCTGTGTGGAAGGTTGTTGTGCTCATTGTTTAAAAGCTTGTAATTGCTGAGTAAAGAGTTATTCTTACGATTTGAGTGTGGAAATTGATAAATCATTAAAATTTGCCAATCTGGATGGAACATATTTCACTGTTATTCAAGAGTTAGGTGTAAATGTGTCGTGTGAAATTTGTAATTATAGTGGTTTCTTTAATAATTTTTACTATTAATTAATTTGTTAATTGTGGATACATAATTTTGACTCTTCACAATTTTTACTATCTTCTAATCCTTACCTTGTCTATTCTACTGTAGCAAAAAAATTCTCAGAACTACCCTTCACTCCTCCTCTATTTCCCCTCCATTCCTCTTGTTCCTATTCTTGCATTAAAATAGTCTTGAGTAACCTTAGTTTTCTTTTTCAAGTTATGTGGTCATCTTTTCAAATTGAGGTAAAGCTACTCACTGCCTCTCTCCCTAATGCAATTCGTCTTCTTATTCCTTTGGATGATCCTCCATCAGCCTGACTAGGGAGCCAAGATAAATAAAGTCTGTCACTTTTACATAGTCTTTTAGAGCGTTTGTTGATGGAAGGACGTGACCTTTATCCATTATCATCATCAAGCTGTTGATCCTTTCATGTCCAATTATTACAATGCTGTTCCCATTGTCCAAGGTTTCTCCCAATACTTGTTCATGATAGATATTAAATAAGATAGGTGAGAGTATACAGCTTTGTCTTACACCTTCCAGGGTTTGATTTGATCTGACATCGAATTAAGCATCCTTACTACTGCCCTTGTGTCTCCGTATAGATTCCAAATAAGATGGATTAGATGTTCAGGAACTACTACTTCTTGTAGAATGATCTTGAATTTCTTCCATTAGCAGATTTATTAGCATTACAGTAGCAGATTTTATTGCAGTCTATGAAACACAATACTAATGACATATTGAATTCCTTGTTCTTTTCCATAAGTTGTCTGCCATTTAAAATCTGTTTGCCTTGTTTCTCTGCCTTTGAGAAATCCATCCTGTTCTGGTGGTATCTAAGTAGTATCTTAGCCTTGCATGGATTATATTTGATAAGACTTTCATTGCATGTAAGATGAGTGATATAGTCCAATAGATGCTGCAGTACTCTGTTCTGCCTTTCTTGTGTAGTGGACTGATAGAACTGAAGACTGATTCAGCCCTATCTCTTCACCATATGCCTGTGGACTGATTACATAGCTCTCATAGAATTTTTGCTCCTTTTTCTCCATCTAATTTTAGTATTTCTGCTGTGACTCCATCAGGTCCTGGTGCCTTGTTGTTCCTTAATTTTGTAATGGCTTGTTCAATTTCTTCAATTAGAAGAGATGATTATTGTTCCTTAGGTATAGCTCTGTTAATTGGGGTATCTTCAGGGTCTACATAGAGTGTTTCACAATATTATCTCCAACATTCCAGAATATTATTTGGGTTTGACTCTACTATTCTAATATCATCATCAATAGCTGATATTTTGAGCTTGTATGCTTCTGTTAATTTCTGTATTTCTTGAAATAATTTTTGGGATAGATTCTTGTCAGCATGTGCCTCTATTCTTTCACATGTTTCATTAATAATTTAATTATTATCTCTTCTTATTTCTCATCTTATTAGTATATTTATACTTCATTCATATGAACTTTGAAAAAGTCAAACAAAATAGAACTTTGGTAAAGTATTGCAATATAGTAAAACATATTGCTTAACTGTCCTTACTATTATTATTTTATACAATACTTATACAAAAGTACTGTTTCTAGTAAAGAAAAATACATTTGTTTGTGCATTTATGTGATCATTTACAAACTGAGAATATGCAAATTAAATGCATGTAACAGTTATGGCTTAAATTTATAGGCCTACAATACATCTAAAATTTCAAATTAGGAATTTAACAGGGAAGTGAAATTGTTGGTATTGATTCTTATTTCAGCATCATCACCTGAAGCTAGACCTTTCCGTCTCTATCGCATTCCACTTCATACATTAAGTGGAACAAGCACATGTGAACGACGATGTCCTACTCCTTCAGTTCCTCACGGAACATCAGAAGTACATGAACCTGCAAGTGAAGCAGGACGTTTGTTAGCAGTACCCAAAGTCAGTGATCATCAACGAGGACTAAGTCGTAGTTGTTCATCTTCTCCTACGCCACACCAGCCACCTGGATCAACTTTCTTAGTAGCACCAAAGTGATGTCTTTTCAAAAGTTTTAAAATAAATGGTGTACAAATTGACAAGCAATGCATTTGCTCTCGCTTACAATAGCAGAGGTCACACTCAGTTCACATTCATCATTCTGTGAAACTGCTATCTTCAGGAAAAATATTTATATTCGAAGACACAGAATATCCATCTGAATCCAAGTTCTGGATGGGACTTAAATGAGTATATATTATAAAATTTCCAATCAAATACTTGTAATGTAAAGGAAAGAATTTCTAATGGAAAAACCGAGTGAAAGAAATTCTCAGGGAAGGATTATTATTTCAAAAGTAAATGTTAAGTGGTGTTCAATGTTTATACCACAAATTTAGCACCAAAATTAGGAGAAAATGTTTATGTGACAAACATCGATTAGTATTTCAAATGCTTTGAAATGAAAACACTTGATAGCAATTACTTAAGCTTCGTAACTGGAGTACATTAGAAATACTTCTCTTCCATGATTAGAAATGTCATTGGAAATATTTTCTTGGCACTTTCTATAACATTAAGCAATGTTTACTTTTAAACATTCTACTTCAAGAAATATGAATGGATTCATGGCAGAAATACTTGTGGTCATGTCATTAAGACTGAAATATTTATAAATAAGTGAGGAAGTCTCACACTGTCTTCATAACAAGAAGCCTTTCTGTAAGAACTCTTCTTATCACTGTTGTTAAAATATGATATTTTTGCAAAATGCTGTTTCTGTTTAAAAAGAACTATTTACTTGCACTTACTAAGATTGATATTTTGGTGCATAATATCTACTATGTTATTTTTAATTATAAATAACTTAGATATAAAGTAAATTTTTTTAACTTCCAATTTTTATCTACTCTAAATGACATAATGAGAATGACAAAATATATACAAATTATAAAATGTGCAATGTGTGATGTACAGTAGTTCAGATGTTGATTCTTAGTTGCAAAATACCAGCTGGCTGGTATCCCACATAATTAATATTTACTTTTTAGCTATACATTTTTATTTATTGTTAGTAAATAATAACAAAATGTCCATAATATAAGAATACAATTTGTAATATATGGTGTTCAATTTTTTAATGATTCTGAATACATGAGTCAGTAAGAAAGAAGTTTCTTGTCATTCTGATCATAAAAAAATATTCATGACAAGTTAATTCAGAAATTGCTATTTAGGTAGGCGAGTTCATGGTAAGATATCTCTAAACGATTTTATTTTCATTCTTTATGTAATGTATGAAGGAATATCCTTTATTTTCAAAATATAAAGGGAATATCTCATTGCCTACAGAAAGAAAATAGTTTTATAAAGATATTGGAATTACACCTTCTGATATCCAGTGTCAGATAATCCGAAGAATCTGTAATTATTCCAAGAGAATAATTAAAATATATATCTTTTCATTCATCTTCTAAATTCAAATTCAATGTTCTTTCAAAATTTCTTCTTTTAAATTCAACATTCTTTCATCTTAATGTACAATATTTTCCTTCACGTTCATCTTAAGAAAGTAGAAAATATTATTTATTATCTTTATAAAAATGTAAATTGAACCTGTAGATCTATTGTGAGCCAGGAAACCTTTATTCTTTCTTTCTCCAAGAGAAAATTGTAAAGTTACTTCTGAAATATGTTAAACATTATTTTTTAAACATTTGCATCTATTTTCTGTTATGGATGCTGGAAGCTTTTTTATTTATATTTTTGTTTGTGTGTTTTAGAATAATTCTATCATTTGGGACCAGTGAGAATCTTGAATGCCAAACATACATCTTTTCTGTAGAAAAGTAATTCAGTCATGAGAGTGAAATCTAGATTATCCTTACATTTTACCTCAAGCAAACTTATTTTTGCCATATTCTAAAAAATTACCATTATTATTTTCTAAAGCACAGAGAATATTCTACTAAATGACTTTCAATAATGCTTCACAATTTTGAAACCAATAACTCACAGAAATGGATAATGTTTCAATAAATCTATGTTGTAAGATACTTTCCTGAATATTTCAAAAATTTTTCATTACAGTTTTCTTTAATTTTTGAAGCTATTTTCTATAAATCTACTTTGAGTCAATCATAATCACACCTAAGGAGATTCCTATGATGTATATTAGTAAATCTAATCCTGGATATTCCTGGATTAAGGCACTACCACTGTGTATCAAATTTGTGTGTGTTTGATCACTGATAACTGTAGGTCTTTTATGTGACTGGTGAACCAAAACTTCTCTCTGCAATCCTCTTTTTCAAGTATTCTTTATGAGGATATTTTTCAATGCATAGTTATTTTAAAAAATTGTATAATGGAAATTTTTCTTAATTTTAGAGGGAAATGCAAATTTTATAATATTGATGACAAGAAGCATTAAAGCAAGAAGTATACATAATTTTCTGATGTTATGATGTTTATACTCTCAAAAAGAAAAGAAAAATAATATTAGTACTTTCTGGAAGATTATTTGCTATTTTATAAAATTAATTTTGAAAGTTTTCATGATGTTTGGGAATTTCTAGACCATCAAGAAAATTAAAATGACAAATTTTGATGTTTTTTCCAAAATGAGAAGCATGAGAAGTATTACAAAAAAATTAATCAAATATAATTTTCGGACCCTAACAATGCATAGAAATTAGTCTCTGTTATTCCTAAAAAATTATGCCTGATTTGAGTATTCATGCATTTCATGACACAATAACCTACAGCAAATAATAGAGATGTCCTGATAATTTGATGCTCCTGAAGTGATTAATAAAGATTATTGTGTCATGATATGAACTCAGACTCTTTAATTATTCAGAAAAGAAGTTGATTAATAATTTTCATATGCTGTTAAGTACCAAAGAAATATTTTTGAATTCAGATTATCAAAAACTAATGAAAAATAAATATGTAGGATTAATAAGTGGTACTGGTCTGGTTTTGATGTGTTACTGGGCACATTTTCCAGTTCAGAATATTCATGCAGATGATATAATAAGTAATAAAGATACTTCTTTATATCTCATATGATCTCATCTGGCATGTTAAAAATGTTCCTCTCTATTATCAATAACAATTTTGCAATCCAGCAATTGATGTATCTGTGTATTGAACAAATTTGATAATGAGATTGCAATAACAGCAAATCCTTATAAAATCACAAAAGAAATTAGAGGAAGAAAGCAACACGTGATTTCACTCTTTTAACTTGTGTAAATAGGCCACGAGATTAAGAGGGGCGGAACTACAATATAGTAACATTGCAGTTAGGTCTCTTTTGGACTCGCCACCTCAGTGTTAAATCATCTTGCTGTATATGCATTGAACTTAAAGTATATTTCAAACACATTTTATATAAGTATTTTTTTCTTTCTGTTTTTTTAAATATTATATCAGAAAAAAATAGAAGTATTGTTGTACTTTTTCTTACACATGTTCTTACTTCTAATTGTAACACATTTTGCATTCTAGATTACGGAACACATATTGATCAATCTCAATTAATTGATCAGAATGCAATAATTTCTTGCAGACATTACAATACACTTCAATTTCAGAATACAGTGCAATAATTTATTTAGCCTCTAAATGTTTTACTTCAAACTTTTTTAATGATTTTTTCTTTTCTTTTAAAAACCACTACAAAAAGCTTTATTGAAATTAACATAATTTTTTGCCTGAAAATACTTAAATCATATTGTGCATTGAGATGCAGTCTGTAATGATAGTGAATGGTTATTTTTCAGTGAATAAATTGTTGTATATAAGTTGTATTATTATATAAAATTCATATATATTCAAAAACTGCCCTACAATACTGCCTGTCTTCTGTTATAAGAATAATAGGTACTTTAAACATTTAATAAAATTACATTATTGGCTTTGAAATAAAATATCTGTCAATAATTTGTGTTGTAATGACATGAATTCTAAGTCTACAAAATTTTATTTTCAAAGTCAGAAAGCAGATGATTTGAGATACACATATTAAGTTCAGCTTTAGTACTCAAATAAGCATGATTCATTAATTTCATAAGATGTTATGATAACTGTTCATTATACACATGTAAAGTGATCAGTGGATTAATATATTCTGTATGACATTTTGTGAGTTATCTGAATTAATTTTTCATGAATGTTTTGTTGTAACTTTGTGTCTTTTAAAAAAATACAACTCTATTTTTTATTGTATGTGTGTGAATGTTTATATGTTCAATCAATGTTGTTGATAATGAAATATTTTTGAACTCTTGACTTGTTCATCATTCTTGATACTATCAAAATATATTTATCTAATGTATAAAACATATGCTAATTAAATCACTGATAAATTATGAAACATATATATACAAGATACTGTAAAATACATTGTTTCCTTAGAGTTCATGCAATTCTACATTTCACATGGCTCTACTACTGAATGGATATGTGAATGATACATTGGTGTTAAATTTTAGATTCTTTTACAGAGTTGTATCAAATACTTGAAGATGTCAGAAATAAAATGATGTATAGAATAGAGTTTTAAATATTGTGTATACAAAGTGTAATCTCATAAGAGAAAAGTGAATAACATTGTGTATTACAATGTAAAATTAATTAATATATTCCTTTCAGTTTCCTTTTATGATGTTAAAGTCAAATTTGTTGTCAGAGTCCTACTTCAATTTAATTTGCAACTAAAGCAATGATGTTTTAGAAGAAGAAAAATTAATTGTAATTTTTGTTAAATACATTATGTGAAGAATGACTGTTAATGCTTTTCTATTACATATTTGTTTATTCTTTACATTATTCTTCCCAAAATAGACTTTTTTCATAAATCCTCTCCACTGTTATTTTAAAAGAATATCACTGCAGTAAATATATTATACATTTTATATAAAATAATCAGTAAATGCAATACAAGAAATGTATCGTAATAGTTCAGTTTTTGGAGAAGTATCACCATCATCCCGTGTAATGTGTATATGCCAAAAAAATACTTCCTAGTAGTTTTGATTGTTGAGAATCAGAGTTGAGGGTTGAGTGTGGTCAGGAGGTTTATTCTAGAATCTTTAATTGAGTTGTATGCTATAATTTCTGGTAGTATGGTGGAATTCTTCACTATTTTTTAGGTGG